CGCCTTTTCCTCTCTTAAAAAGCTGCTTCCAGTTCCAGTGGGACAGTAAAGATTACGTTATCGCAGCAGGGCGTTAGTGGCGGAGAGACTAACCGTGTCCTTCGTTATCTGGCTGTGCAAGAGGACAAGGATTTAAAGCTTTGACATTTTAGATAATTTCTTTATAACGTGGTAAGACAATAGCTCTTTAAGAGTCTGAAATTCAATTCAGCATGCTGCACTACCTGCATATTGCCTAAACTACCCATCCTATAGCCTCATTTTGGCATTGTACCTCCAGACAAAGCTGTACAGAAAGAAAGAGGAGACTGGGAAGCTGTCCTTCTCCACCGCTTTCCCACAGCCACGTGCCTATGGCTTTGTGGAGCAGCGAGGTGGCGATGCCCATCGTCAACTCTGTGCTGTTGTCACAAAGTCCTCATGATTTTGTATAATGCTTAAAAAAAAAAACAAAACAAAACGCCAGGACTTTTCCAGTGGAGTGGCAACCATCCCGAACTTGTGCTATCCAAACATTTGTAAGGGGGGGGGAACATCATCACACATCGATCCAAGCTTTCAGAAGGCACAAGTCTTAAAATATAAGGGAAAAGGAAAGTTCATGGCACACTGTAGAGCTTTAGTGAGAGCAAAAAATTCTGCACGAGGAAAAAATCCTGCATTGGCAGTACAGCCTGTGTGGAAAACCAGCATCTGCAAAGGAGGCAGGTACCTGGGAAATCCCTGCGAGGTTTCCTCTGGCACAAAGAAAGGCCGAAGCACCGGCTAAGCCACTTCAAGTGTGTCATCTTCGAAAATACTGGAAAAACAAGAAAAACAGGGAGTTTACTCAAAAATTAAATTGTTCAGCAAGTCAGCCAAGAACTGCCTGAGAGCAGGCAGGTGGACTCCCATGCTGGTCTACGTAACTACCGTGTTTGGGACAGACACAGGTTACCACCATCCCTTCCCGGACCACGTCTGGGAGAGCAGTATTGAAGAGTGCTGCTGACCATGCAGCGACCACCCTCCGAAGGAGAAGAGAGACGACACGGTCTCAGCTATGAGGCAGCAAGAGGGACATTTTGAAAACAGTCACGTAGGAAAAATGAAGTTGTGTGTTGTGTTTTGAGCCTCAAAGCAGGATTAAGTCTATTTCATACACTGAATTTAAGCCTTCTAACAGCAAATTAGATTTTGGCACGGTGAGTTAAGCTAAAACTGTATCTTGGCCTATGGCTTTGTGGAGCAGCGAGGTGGCGATGCCCATCGTCAACTCTGTGCTGTTGTCACAAAGGCCTCATGATTTTGTATAATGCTTAAAAAAAAAAACAACAAAACAAAACGCCAGGACTTTTCCAGTGGAGTGGCAACCATCCCGAACTTGTGCTATCCAAACATTTGTAAAATGTATCTTGGTGATTCTTTGATAACCCAGTCCAGAGAACATTCTCCTAATAAAACTGAGGAATAAAGCAGGTTACTGGGATGCATTCCTGGTGCCGCTGGTTAACCCACAACAGAACAGCCCTGTGAGAACTGCCGGCTCTGTGGATATAACCTGTAAACCTAAACTTCCCTTCTTCCCTGGTTAAACTGTCCTCGGTACAGAACTTAGGATGGTGGGTAATTAAAGTAGCAGTCACTTTCTTTCTTCCCATCCCAACAATCAGCAAAAAAAGATCAGTTTTGAAACAAATTGAATTTTATTCTTTGCAAATGTTTGCAAGCAACAAGATTTTTCTGAAAAGTTGTCTCAAAAGGCAGACAGAAGAAGAATTAAAGCAGAGAACGTGCTACCCTTTCTGCAGCTTTTACAAAGCAATTAAACAAACGTGAAAAAACGACGAGAGGAACAAAGTGAATCGCAGCACATACAAAAATAGCATTATTGAAAACTAAACGGTAGAGTATTTGAACATGTTTTAGACCCAGTGTGCAAGTGTCCTATGTGATTCTACCTAGTCATCAAAACTAAACTAAAATATATGAAAACTTGCAATATTACAGGCTTTGATTGTATGACGTCTATTATGCTATTGCAACCACAGCTTGAAAATGAGCAATTCTATCCTACACAAACTCCAATCCAGCCGAAACCTGCTGCTGAGCTGGGCAGTCTCTCTTCTGTCCCTACGCAATGCCTGTGTGTCCCTCCTCCCTCCATCAGACCTGACACGGATGTGGCTGTGCAGCCAGGACACCAACCCTACCACTGCCTAATTCCTAAAATCTCACATCAGAAGGACAGAGATTACGGTGGGAGAGAAGAGAAAAAGGATCCCTTTTGCCAGCAGCCAGCAAGTCAATTGGATTCATGAACGCATGAAGCTACATGCCAACCAATGAACGTAGTAAATACAGTAAATAATCATAAAATGTGATTTCCTTTGTGTTTAGCTCTCAAAAGCACACGATGTCCATATTTGTCAGTAATAATCTTCCACAATCCCAATCCTGTATTGTTCTCTCCAAAATGGAGAAAAGCAGCATAGAAAATATTAACCAACATACAGAACCATCCGTGATTCCACATCCACCCTGTAAGTCACATGCTGTCCATTTTGAGCTTTCTTACACATGCAGTGCTGTAACGGCCAGCTTCACCACAGCAGGATTCATCATCTTTGGGTCAACCTGAATCACACTTGCTTTCAACCTGGAAAGTGTCATGGACTTTGAAATGGCAAATATTACACAGGTTAGGCAGATGGAACAGCATCATCAACAATAAAATTAAATTAGTGCTAAATTTACTCCTGACTTCTCTCACTTGATTATATTAGTTTACATTTGACTATATATACACAATACCAAAAATAGGCCTATTTTGTATTCAAACATTGCCAACATAATGCCATTTCTGGTTGACGCAATCCAAAAGACTCGGCCAAAAACCCAAAGATCTTATAAAGTTCAGCAACAGCTAAGAAAGTAATTTTGAAAACCTCACTCACCCTACCCTCGGTGAATACTTCAACCTAGCAGCAGCAGAAGGTACTTTAAAGCACTCTCAAAATTCTTGCCACCACCAAGCCCTGCTGAGGGTAATGGGAACAACAGATACTGGGTATCTCTGAGGGAAAAAAACCCCCACAGCTAAGATGCACGTATCTGTGTGTATACGTGTGTGCATGCGCAGGGTGCGAGGGGAAAGCCAAGCATGATTTCAGTGGTTATCCAAGTATAGAGGTTTCACAGTCTCACTCTCACACTAGGGCTTAGCATTTCAGCATTTTGAAAGCTTATTAGAGAAACATAATCAAAATACAGGATGTTTTCTTGAAGAAAACAAGCCATCATTCACCCTCTATTTCTTCAGAATTATATTCAAAGAAGTATTGCTTTTCACAGTTCACTGGCAAGTCAGAGCACAGCACACAAAATTAAATACGGTATTAAATACGCCTATGGAGAGAACAAAAGTTATCACAGAAGCACAGAGGTAGAAGGCTTTGAAGAACTAAACCTGAGTTACACAATCATTAGTTTCTACATACCTAGCATGACAAACTACCCTAACAGCCTTTCAGCATCTAGCATCTTTTCACAGCTGGGTATTTTTTCTGCAGCACTGTAGCAGGTACCACACTGCCATTTAAGTCAGGTACTTGTCTTGTAGAGGGTCTGACATGGCCTTTCACTGAAGTCATCTGTCTGTCCCTGATCAGCGGCTGATGTCTTAAATCTGAAGTAGTTTTGTGTCATTATGTTTAACAATGCAAGTTCTCAAAGATTTACTGTGAAGAAATAAAGAGTGAATGATAAAGCTTCAATAGAAAAGCAAGTGTGTATGTACACAAACATACTGAAGAAATCTTCAGTTTCCATCACCAAAGTGCATTCCGAGGGGAAAAAAACCCCAATAAATCAGTGGCAAAAGCTGCCCCACTTTGGCACCTGATTTCTGCAGCACAGACAGCACTTCAAACAAAACCAAGAAAATAAAAAGAAAAAAAAAAAGCATTGCTTTTTATTTCTGCTTTATTTAGAAACTTCTGTTCTTTGTAAGGTAAGGGTGATAATGTGAAATTTTACTTTATGATATGAAAGTGTAAAAGCAAAAAAAATTAGAGATGTTGCCTCCTCCTTGTCAAAATAAATACTACTGAAAAATGTACTTCACAGAACGCTGGACATGTATGTTGATAAGCTGATCTTCACAGAAATAACTTTGAAAAGGAAACATAAGCACGTTCAACAGTAAATGACAATGTAGTTTGTATTCTGGGACTGACCTGTATATTTTGTATAAATAGTTTAAAATTTAAGACTTCTTAAGTCAAACAGATTAAATAGATCAGACAACTTGCAAGGACCAAATACTTCACATGGGTTCCTTTCAGAGGGCATCGCGTAACACAGTCATTCCAGCTGCAGGCAGCAGGACCTCTTGCTTTGGCCAAGTACAGCACTGCCACTGACGTTACCAACACGGTATTAGTCAGAAGAGAGACTTCGGTCTTGTACTTTCTTCAACGGTTATTCAGTGAATATCAGAAACAGCATGAGCATAAAATTTGAAGTACTCCACAGTTAGAAACAGGGATTCTCAGCAAAAACACTTTTAAGTATATTATGGAAAATATTCTGCAGCAAGTAACTGGCATCTACCACCATACATATATTGCATAAATTATACTCTGTTTATTTGTGATTTTAGTTTCCCTCCCACCTTCTTCCACTGAAGGTTGATAGCAGTAAACATTTTCTGAAATTACACAAGGAAGGAGAAAGTTCAGTCTCAAGTCTGTCCAGATGGATCAGATAGATTTCTTGGTGTCTCATGCCACCTCCTCTCCTCAGCTGTCATTTTAAAGATTCAACCTTCAGTTCCCAGTGTGTCTGAAACAGTAATGTGGATGCGCACCAAACCCAAATGTAGTGAGCCTGTGTGTTTGGTTGGTTTTTGTGTGGGGGTTCTTCGGTTTTGAAGTTTAAGTAAGCATCAGAAGCAGAACTGAGCAGATGCATTTAAGAGACAGACTACCGCCTGGTCATCTCCAAAGCAGGTTACTAGATTACAGGCAGAGTAACGGTGATCTATCATGGCCTGAGTCTTCCTCTGTTTCTGGAATCCGAGGCAGGAGAGCAGATCGTGTCAACCCCCAGAATTTTTGAGGTGACATATCCTTTTTGGTAGCTGTGAACTTCCATCCCATATGGTTCCCACAGACTCTGCACTGGGCTATAGTCCAGGCATACCTACAAGAAAACAAAACAAAAGGTTGATGCTAATATGTAAGGAAAAGACATTTTAAAAGTACTGGAACAGAGCTCACTCACGAGGTAACATGGTAATACTAATCTCCAGCTAGATTTTCAAAGAATCTGGGAACCAATGTGCTGAGCTCCCATTTAAAAACCCTGCAGATCTTAAAAATCAGCCTTCAAATAGAAAAAGCAACTAAAGCATTTTATTAGCACAACATTTCAACAGTGTGATGAAATGCTGTGTACCTTACAGAAGAGTCAGAAAATGGTTCTCAGAGTAGGTTACTTAACAGAAATAAAATTGGTTTTTGCACTGCTCCTATGTTAACAGGGAACTGTACTTTCCAGAGCAGTGGAGATTTTCTTCAACAGTTTTAAAAGGCAGAACATGAATATTTCAACACCCTCACAGAAGAAAAGAGCTGAGAAAACACATAAGGATGAGAAAAATTAACTCCAGATATTATAAGCCATAAGTTTTCCTCAGGGAGTCTTAAAGCATGCACATCTTGACAGATATGCCATATACCCTCCAAGTCATTACTCAATGCTATGTGATAATCCAGAAAAAACACTCACGATTAATACAAGAAAATGGAGGAGTAAATATGTACATGTATTAATCAAGAATCTTGGACTAGCTACAGAAATAGCAACATATTATTTTATACTGCTTTAGAAGAGGACATGATAGCCAAAGGGACAGAAGAATGATTTTTGACACTCTGGCATAGAAAGGAGCACACAGAGAATGATTTGGTGAAAATATATTTAAAGAATATTTGTGTGAAACTAAAGTTCAAATATAGTTTGACATTTCAGGTATTTTTAAGAGTTAAATATTCAGATTTTTTGAATGAGAGCTTGAAGAATGCTTATCTAGCTACCACAGTTAAATTTAAGCTACCAGAGAGGGGTGATATTTTGATGCAAGACCTGTCATTATTAAGCAAATTTTTACATCTTGACAGTTAATTCTGCTACTGTTTCAGAAAACCAGACTAATTAAAAAAAAAACAAAACCAAACCCAAAGGTAATCATATTAATACAGATGTCAGCAATTTTTTAAATTCATGTAACATTTATTCAGTTTTTCGATCTAAAAAAAGTATTTCAGTAGAATTATATTCTGGTTTTCATTTGCACTTTATTTACTTTACAATCAAAGAAAGCTGCATGGAAACACCAATTATTATTTTAGTTGTGGTTTGTACAAACCTATACACAACAAAACTCCCAGACAATCAGTATCCTGTTTCTAGCTCTCAGATGCTAAACTATGTTTTAAAATCTTAAGACTTCTATATTTTTAAAAAGAGAAATTCTGAAAACATTGTATCTGAATTTTCCATTTTATTCTGTACTTTGAAAAAGTCTAAACTTACTTTCCTATTTTTCGATGAGTGAAATGATGACATATGATTCAAAAATTATAAGTTTACTATTCTGTCACAGGAATACACTTACAGCCAAATTTCTGTCATTTACTAATAAAATTTCTTTTAACTGTTTTATTACCCAGGAAACCAGCTGTGCTCTGTCGATGCTCGTCCACTGAGATTCAAGTTGCAGGCTTTATATACAGTAAGGGTTTCATGGATGTAGCCGTGAGGATTCACATATGCTGCCATGGGTCCACATAAGGATAAACTACAACAGACAATTAATAATCTTGTCAGAGTTCAAGGAAGAAAAGGTTGTCAGATATAAGCTGAGGAAAAACTGCCAACCATACTTAAAACTATTTTCCATAGCAAAAGAACCACTTTAGGCTGTAGGAAAAAAGTACCTTTAATTATATTATTAAAAAATGAAGGAAAATAGATATTAATGTAAAATATCATTGGTCAAATTTTCTTAGAATTGCAGAAATTTAAGTGTCCAGTGTTATAAATCCAACGCATTCCTCACTGACATTAATTATTACTGTTACCTACTTATTAAGTCCCTACTTCAGAAAAGATATTTAAAAAGATACTATGGTGAGTAAGGATTAAAACATTCTTGTGTTCAGATGAACGTCACCCAGCTGTTTGTTATAGGGGACAAGTTACTTTAGAGGAGAACTGACAGGATGCTATGAAAATTACCTCATTTAAGGCAGTGATTAACCTTTCCCCCAAAAACCCACAACTCAGTATAAAAAAAAGTACGATAGACTCAATGTATTTTACTTGCTGCTTTTGAATAGCAGCTTCCAATAAAGCCAACATCTATGTTGCTACTTTGAAATCTAACTTTAAGCAAAAATATTCATTCATCACACTAACTTCTCATCGTTCTTCTGTTGAAGTACATCATATCGACACAGTATTGTGGTTTCTGGAATCCATTATATGATTAGAAGATAAGAGATGGCTTTTAATTACCACATCAGCTTCTTATCACACTGATAAAGGAAAACTGTGGGGAGTCTAGCTTGGTTAAACCAAGACATCTTTTAAACTTCACATTATCAGAGGTGATGGACAGATATTAGTTATTCGAGATTAAAATGGTGACAAGACTGCCAGAAGCAGCAATTATTTGGAAAATATATAGTCTTATCGTCATTGACATTTGAAGATATCATATAAGTCAAATATATAACGGGAACATACTGCCTAGTGCAGTTATTAGGATTAAACCCTATATTCTTAAAATAAAAAAGGTATCACAATACTTAATGACATAAATAGGCAATTTCCTTACATGACAACATCCTGGGAGCCTATCTATACCACCCAACTAGTGTATTTGAATCTCCTGTTGAAGCTTGTTGACAAATAGAAGTTGAGATGAAGTGCTGAGAAATAAAATTTGGGATCTCATGAACTTTATTCAGGAAGAATAGGACAAAAAAAATCCTATGTAACAAATTTGTATTTCAAAACACACCGCAGAGTGCATAATTCTTCAGTGGCAAGGTGCTGGACTAGGTGCCGTAACATGGCCTTTCACACTAACTTCCCTTACAATACACATGGCGATGTTCAGATTTACTAACTTTTTATTACAAAAGCTCAAGTTATCTGTTCTGTTTTATAAAGAAATTTCCCTTTTTTTATTTACCTAAATTCTACTAGAGCTGTGGAAAACACAGTAGTTATAAGGCATAACCTACTTAATCCGTTTTGCTGTGCCAATGTTTCTGATCAAGAAACTCCCAAAGATTAAGAGCCACAAACTCACCTGAATATTTCATTCTTCGTAGTTATTTCTGTATCTTGGCATTGCTTACAGCACAGAGATGTACACTTGAAAAGAAAAACAAAGAGGGTAATTTCATTCACTTCCAGATGCTTGTCAGCCCAGTGGCGAATAATAAAAGTGTCTCTGCCCTTCCCTCAGAACAGACTTTGTACCAATTCTTTTGCTTATCTTGGCAGCAGTCACTTATGTTTTCTCTTTTTATCAAAGGATAAATTTTTTTCCATGCATTTTACTTATTTATGGTAAAAATTAATTGTTATCTAAAAGACAAAACAATTTTTATATACTTTTCTTCCTCCCCCTGAAAAAAAAATCCACACATAGAACAGGACCTGGTTACACAAAGATAATAAACAAGCCAACCTTCTAAGGTCTCTTAAAGCTAATTTGGGAAAAAACCCAACACTTTGCTCTTCTAAAATACAACACAGAAAAGCTAGATGAGTACAAATGCAATCATTAAGTCCTTCTACAATTTAAGAGTACTGTAGATCAATGTTTTTAATTTCCTCATGAAAAATATGTAAGTTGTATTGATCTTTCTCTTAAAGATTATAAGAGATTAATCTATCTTCTACAATTTCTAGAGAGTAGAATGAAACAATTCATCACTGACATGCCCAGAAAATAAGCATTTAAATCAGCTTAGTAGAACGCTACCATTAATTTTCAGGAGGTGCATTACTTCTACTTCTTCTTAAGGGTAATGCATATGAAATTACACCAAAAATGATCCATTATATTTTGGAACAAAACGCTGCACCTAGGATCTTCACTTGGACAAGTCCCTGTGTGAGCGTATAGTCTTTTAAAACCTGGAGGAAATCACAGCTTGTGCTTCTGAGTCTCCCTGACCTCAGACTCCTGCACTCCACTCGCGTGATACTATACAGGCTTACGTCAGTCTTTACTCTCTCCTTTCCTCTATTCAGATGCTCTGAGCTTGTTGCTGCCTTTTAACTTCCTCCAGCTCCTTTCTTGCAGGTGACACTGGTTCTGGCCCACACTTCCAACACACCATCTACTCATCTTGGAGACTGAGGGAAGAAGATTGCTCTACTACGCAGATACAATTTATCATACACCAGTTCACTTCCCTTCTTAAAGCTCACTTGGCCTTTCTCTTTCTGTCCTACCAGGGACCTTTAATGCCTATTATCACTCACTCTTTTAAATCACCCTTACTCACAGATTATAATCTAATGCTCATATATCCCTCTCAGAATCCAATTTAGACAGGTACTTAATTCCACCCCCCCATTTCCAAACCTATCTAATTACTACAGTAGCACTTTCAAGCAGAATTCACAGAAGTGTTACACCTGTGAGTGATATACATTCCTTTAAAAATAAGCACAGAAACAGTTAACTGTCTTTAGTAACAGGAAAAGCTATTAAAAGTACAATACAATTCACTGATATCAAAGACAAAAGAAAATGGATCAGGTCTTAAAATCAGTTATAGCACTGTAAATCGCATTCTGAAAAAATGAAACGTGTTAAGTCCATCCTTCTCAAGTAAACCAAAATAAATGCTACGTTGCCAGAGCACTCCTCCTTGTTAAAGAACCCTGGCTTAAAAAGAATTGATTTGACCAAAACAAATGTTGCTAAAAAATTGTAAAAAAACATAACGGACTTACCATTCTCACACTAATATAGAACAGTTAAACACATTTACAGAATAAAATGTCACATATTGCTAAAGAAAACACCTTTCTGCTGTAGGCTAAAAATGAACTTTAACTTATATTTTATGAGGGTAACTTAAGTCCTCTTGTCTCTTTGAGATTTATAGAAAATATACAATGTACTGAACATGAACAGTTCTTAGTAGTACCTGAATATCAGAATGTTTTCAGAGTATCTGACTTGGGAAAGGCAAATGAAGTTTAATCTGATTACACAGCCTCATGCAAAAACCTGTCCATTTTTGTCTCAGAATTTGGAAGAGATATTTTATCTCCTTTTCTCTGTATTTTCCCTTTTAGATTTTTAGTGCATGAACTTTGGGAAGAGGAACAGTATCATAATGATACTCTGTTTTCCCCAGAAATAGCCAGTACTTTTTAGAAAAATAACCAAAATTTCCACTGCTCTATACCCAACAGACAAACACAACAGTGACCAGGGTTCTGTTACACTGATGTCCGAGGCAGCACTTACTTTGGTATCCCCAGCAAGCTTACAGCCAGCAAGGTGAGGGCCAGTCAGGACATATACAGCTATTCTTTGTGATAAGAACGCATTAACAAAATGTTAATTTGTCTCTCCATTCAATAATTGAATAGTAAATACTCCAGCTACCACTATCAAATACATAAACAAGTTTACAGTTAAAACTTGTATTTATACCAATGGCTCTTTTCAGCATTTTCTCTTTGGAAAGAGAACAGCAATCTGAACTGCTGTTGGAGATGTTGTTGCAAATGTTAGTCCTGAAACAGTTGATTCAACATGAGGTTGACTGATACTTAGTTGCATTATCAGTTATAATATGTAATATTAATTATAGTACATATTAAGAAAGTATATATTATTATGAAGAAATGTACTACGTAAAAATAAAACTGTAATGTCCTACATTTAGAGCATTACATGGCCATGGCAATGGAGAGAAGGGAAGAGAAGTTTTTGAACATCTTAGAAAGGTATTGCCTAACAAGTCAATGCATGTCCTCTGCAAAAATCCTTTCAGTCCAATACTGAATACTCAATAGCTCAATACTAAAAAAATTCATCTTTTGTTACAAAATCCACAAGTCTTCATGGCAGAATGCTACTTGACTGAAGTGTATTACACTGTCAATATGGGTTATGATGTTCATAAGATGGCTATGAGCAACACTGGACTTCTAGCACCATCTCTTGGCTAAAAAAGTACTGTGAAGTGTTGAAATAATATTTGCTTTTGTTAGAAACTGTATTTTATGTTCTTGCTTGCTGCTAAACCTAAAGTCTAGTATTGAGACAGAGCATTTTCTTTCTTGAGCAAACTTTTAAAGAGGAAAGAAGAAATAAAAGAATTCACTCTCTAGAAGTATTATTTGGATATTTCATATATTTTTGTTATAGATTGTAACAGTCATTCCCATTTTTTTAGCGAGAACAATTTAACAACAAATAAAGAAAAATACTCACTTTGTTCATAATATCCAATTCACAACGGAGTCGCTGAACAGCACTACCTATTTTAAGCAACTGGATACGTAATGCATCATCTATTGGCAGGCAAGCAGCAACTCTGTAAGAAAAATCTAGAAATGAGAAAGTAACAGGCCTGTTAGAATTTGAGAGAGAAATAAAACCTACAACTTCTACTCAGTTACAGATAAGAGTGCTAAAACTTAGGTTTATAATAGACTTTTAGAGGTCATCTTGGTACATCCTTCTGCCCTAAGGCTGGATTGTGTACATGTAAAACTTCTAAGGTATTTGTCTAATCCACACTTGAAGATCACCAGTGACGGAGACTGAACAATGCTGGTAAGGTAAGGTATTCTAAAGCCAGAACAGACCCCTGGAGAACACTGTCTGATACAGACTTCCACTTCAACACGGAATTACTGAGTTTTCCAATCACTGGTGGTTATCTTTATGTTTGCACTTCCTCTTTTTTTTTTTTCCTCCAAAAAAGACAGTCATGCTTCTACAGGAGAAGGAAAAATTAAAGAAAAAAAAAACCAAACACACAGTTCCTTCATAAATTTCAACCAAGTTATATTACTCATGCTAGTACTAAGAAATTATTCTTGACTGTTATACTGTAAGAAGGAAAAAGACATACTTAGTATACGTTTCCTTCTGGAGGTTTTTTCCCCCCACATTTGAATGCAGACCAAAATTAGATCCAAAAATATTCAGTCAAGAAGACAGACTTTTTTTTTTTTAAAAACACCAAAAGTCTTAATATGATAGTAGATTCTCAGGCAACAACTTCAATCAGGTACTAAAAGGCACAAACACAAAAGGTAGTGGACTTCATTACAGTCACTCTTTAATTTAGCTAAGAAAAACCTTGCTAACCTGGAAATCATCCCATTCCTCACAGCCTGTAAAAGAATTCAAAAGCTGAAAATTAAAGTCAGTAAAATATCAGTGTGTTATGATTCATGAGAAAAGTGTCAAAAAAATACTGGATTTTTTTTGATTGTTTTCAGATTATTTTATAAGCTTTCCACTTATGGTCCTCTAAGCAGCACTCTGGGCAAAGCAGACGTGAAGTACTTTCAACCACTACCTTAGGCAAATCAGAAACAAGAGTTCCAGGTACATTAAAACTATTAAGCCCAGATCTGTATTTGGTGCTTAACTGACTTCAGTTGAAGGCTGCAGATTGAATTCCCCCATTATTAGGCATTTGAGAGTCTACACAGGAAAGAATGTTTCTCCCCTTAGAAGACCTTCAACTGAAATTTCCATCTTAGTAGATTCTAGAGATGTGCAGAGAGGAGAGACTTGTTCACTGAGGCGTAACTCCAATGATGGCTAAGGCATGAAATCCAGTACCAACTTTTTTGCAATTAGGTTACTGGTGGTATTTTCCCCTCAGGTCTCATAAGAGGCAATAAGAAGTAAGAACAAAGAAATTATATATACTCAAGACTTACATAAAAATAGTTTTTAAAGCCTAGTATGCTTTTGGCTCTTGTTTTCTTACGAAACATTTAGACCACATTCCTCCTGCCATGAAGCACAATGGAGTTCTATTTCTTCTACTGAACATGCTTCTGCACATTGGAGGATGTTTATATCTTTAAAAGCTCTACCATCCTTTTGTCAAAGTCAATCATCAAAATTTACTGGAAACTGGAAGTGAAGGATGGACTGCCAGTGAAAGTTAATTATATAAGTTTTGTTTTCTTAGGAAACTTAAAAATGGAGTTCACAAGCTAAATAACATCATACCTATTGGGTTTGTTGGAAGAGATTCATCTTTAAGATTTTCATCCCATTCATGTAGCTGCCTCTTGACTCTTTCCATCAAGGTTTCCTTTTGTTAGAAGAAAAGCCTAATTTAAATACATAGGTATTTCTGTTTTCTTAGGAAAAAAAAAAAAAGGAAGCAAAATGTAGAGTAAGCTATTTTCCCTAAGTGGACATTAGCTTTTAAGACTTACAATAACTACAGACTCATTCTGTATCCACATATTTTAAACTAAGAGCAAAACAGGATGGGAAACAGGCCAAAATAAACCAATGGCCCATGGTGGTTATAACTATCATTTGAGATAAAGTAATTGGCATAACAGAGGCAGAAGCAGGGAGGACTTTATGTACTAATATACCTATATATACACACATGTATATAGAGAAATATGTACTTTTTAAAGAGTAAACCAACTCCAACAGGGAAGACAGATCCAAGACTGTCCAGCAGCGTGGTGGTTAGGACATGCACCTGGAGCATGTGGTACAGAGGATCAAGTTTTTTCTCCAAAACAACAGAGCAGGAACCTGAACCTCTGTTATCCACCCCTGACACATGCTCTAGCACGAGGGAACAACTATACAGAGTGGGAAGCCCTCTCTGCTCTTTTAACAGTAAACTGAAAACTAGATACTTCTTTAAAACATAACTTAGGAGCCAACAAAATTAAAGCTTTTACCTTATCCAATAATTAGATATTAAAACATACAAAACTAATTGTAGATTATTTGGTAATACATAGAGTGAACTTACAGCATCATATAGAGAGTAGAGCCAGGGAGGCCAAGATGTCAAACTTGCACAGTGGAACTTCCTCTAAAACCAAAATCACAAATATTTATTCTTTAACATTAGCACATTTTAGGGAGAGTCCATGTTCAAACAAATAAAACAGAGAAAAGATACCTGATTATTTAAAGATACAACAGATTATCACCATCAGGACCAGAACTTCAACATGAAGCTTCCAAACCACCTCTCAAAAGCACTGAGAGCTAAGACTTCTGTACAAGACAGGCAATATAAGGATTTTCTCAGAAAGCCTGTCTCAGCATTAGAAGTATTTCTAATGTTTAGTAATAAGAAATTATGCCTTTCAAAAGAGCTTCTATCTGAAATTTAAACAGTTCAACAAATTTATAGCACTTAAGGAACAAATGCACTAAGTCTCCATCAATTGTTGCTACTTCAGCAACCACTGCAAACCACTATGCAAGGTGACTAAACTACTCATACCAGTTTAGTCAAATGCAGAAATAAAATGAAAGAAGGAGACTAATGGGCCATATCAGGTATTTTAAACTGACATCTATAAATTCAAAGGATATGTGATGATATTTTTTTAAACGGAAAACTAATCTGTTAAAAACTTAACTAAAAATACCAACACACAAGTTAAGAGTTCCAGAGGATGCTTTCTCACAGCAGAACAATTACTGATTAAGAAAACTTGAATTCCTTAACCACCAAATTTCCAGCAGCGCAAGGTTATTTGCTTGGTTAACCAATTCTCTACATTGACTTCAGAACACTTAAATTTATAGATTTAGGTTAATAAAACCTAAAAAACAGTACACTACATAACCACATTGCTTTCCAAAAGAGGATCTCAAATTGTTCTATAAATACTTGCAAATTAAATTTTCATTTTCCTTTCGAGGGCAACTATCGTTATTTTACAAATTAGAAAAATCAGGCAATAGAGACTAAAATCCACAGCAAATAAATGGTACTTTGAAGAAAGAATTCAGGAACACCAAAACTCAAGTTACTGTTTTAATTAGCCAGTACATTTTCTGTAACAGCTGGCACATGGTCAGTTCTTGTATGGAGCAGAAACTGTTCTTAAAATACAACTTCAATTTTCTGATGTTTCTCATTATATTAGTAAACACACAGAGGTACAGCCCATCATATTGGAAACAGTCACAGTTCTACTGAAATCAACAGAGCAAGGGAGGTCAACAGGACAATGCCTCTACTCTGCATCTGTATCTCAGTCCACAAAACATGTGCCTTGTCTTACAGTTATCATCAGGTAGACTCAGTGTTGGAAAGGGATTTCCGCCCCCTCCTCCCACAAAGCTTAGTGTTTCTGGGCTTGTTAACTCATAAATGAAGTTGATCAAGAACCTCGAGAATGAATAGCTTTTTTTCACTAATGATTTTTTTTTTTTTTTGCTACAGAGTTCAAAACCATTAAAAAAACCAAATCCAAACCTTAATTGCATCTGACAGTGAGGAAAGTTACTATTCATTCTATATTAATTTCTGGAGGTAGTTCCAAAGATCTCTACAGATACAGAAGACTTCAAGATATCTTTCTTCTTATATGCCACTGACTGAAACAGCAGGCTAAATAAATAATAAATAAATGAAAAAAACATAATTTTAGTTTTTTTCTTTATAAAAGTGTCAGGTTGCCCTGTTTCACTACATCCTCTCCTACTAATCTCAGTGCTAACTCTTGTCCCATTAACCTTATCGTGCATACTTGTCCATTATTAATGATAGTCTTTGAAAAGCCTGCATTGTGCCCGAGAATAAGCTAAGTTTACACTCGAAAGGCTTTTGCTGTTATAACTATGTTAGTATGATATGCTAGCATGGTGCTTATTATGGGAAACTTAATTTATTCCAGCAAAATTATCCTTTTGGCAGTACATTTTATTTCAGACTCCTAAAGGAAAACATTGTATACCGGTAAAAGTGCACATTCACTTGTATAAATGCATCTTTTAGCACCTTTTAAACAGCACAGCTGTCTCTAGCACAAATCACACCTTATTATTCCCCCGAGCAAAGCAAAAGTTTGTAGCTTAGGCCTGGCAACAGCCACTTAGGACTCTTGAAAATTCTGCCCTACGATCTCAGTGTGAATTCCCTCCTGATTCCAAGTACTGTCACAGCTGCAGTGATGCAAAAATAGTGTAAACAAGCAAAGACAGAATTCATGCCAGTGAAGCAAAAACAGGAAAACAGAATCTAATTCCTTAATAACAATACCAACATCTTAATAATGATTATTTCTCCTCTACCTTGTTTTGCTTGGTTTTGTGTGTTTGTTTTTAAACAGAGTCAAGTAAATGAAATTCTGGAAGCTCTCTAAATAAGTGTAAAGTCTGCATACTTATAAAAAGACCTCTAGGAAATAAAATCGGTATGACCATAGAACTGCTAATTCACTCACTTTGTATGTAAAAGCACCATCTTCCACTAATAACTACTATGTCAACATATGTCGAGTGCCAGAAAAAAATTAGAGATTTCTATGACTCTTTCCTATCATGTCACTTTTAGTACCATAATAAGATTTAAGAAAAAGGTTCTAAATTCAGGGTTTTGTTTTTTTTTAAAAATAGGGAGGGATTACGTATTAACTATCCTAGAAGGTAAATCTGTTGAACAAATACTAATAAATCAAAAAAAACCACCCCACAAACCAGACTCAGAAATACATGTGCAATTGGCCAGAATAAATGGATTGCACAGAAGTATTGTGATCTGACAAAGATAATGACTAAGCACAAAAGTCAGCAAGAACGTCAGATAGGTATTATATAAAAATTTACAAGATGAAAGTGCGACATAAAGCATGCTCAAAACTATAAAGCACAGCCTAGCTGTCAGCCAACAATCATTTGGGTGTGAATATATGACCTTGAGTCTGTCATTCTAAAGCAGATCCACACGTTCTGTAAACACGTAACTGCAGGTACAGAAGTTAATCCTTTAACTGATGCAGGTTTTAAAGCAAAATTAGCAAACGGAATTGTGATTCCAGACAACTAAGACATCACAGGTCTTCTGTTTCATCACTGAAATTTGGAAGTTGCCTCTAAACCAACTCTGCTCCTTAAAAACCTCTTCTACTCAAATCAAACAGTCACAGATAAACAGCTACAAAAGCCTTCTTACTTTCAAAACCAAGCCATTAACACAAGTACAAATACTAGTACGGTCAACACCGATTGCCAATATTTTTATCATCAAAGCAATATCAGTAAAAGTTAAGATGCTTCTTTGACCTGCCTAAAAATTAAATCCTGTAAACTTACCTGTTTTTCCAGCCAACACTTCATCATCTACAAGCTTTACCAGCCAGCACTCTGAGGTGTTTGATTATGTAAAAAAATAATAATTGTAATATTATATGAATTATTATA